AACCAATATGTACAGACCAACACATCCCAACTTACTAAGCTCAAGGAAAACTCAAACAAATCATATGACAGTCATCTTTCTTCTATCACGACTCTCTTGGAATGCTTTACGTTAACCTTTTCCTTCTGGGTATCATTCCAGCCATGACTTTTCACAGAGTGAATTTATTCATGTTAACCCCATCATCATCTCAATGGATAATTTTTGATGCTCGTATTATCACAGCCTGGCTCATGTTGGGGGAGACTTCTGATCCCTCCATGGTCTCTCCTCGGCTCCCCTAATAATTCTGAGGATGGCTTTATTGCCTGGCCACTACAGGGTATCCTGGCTCATTCTCATTTTTTCCCTATGTTCCAAAGGATCCTGGTTTCCTTTCGTGGAGAAGGCCTTGGAGGCCAAAGTCTGGGCACAGGGGGGGGGTCCCTAAGATGAGGGGATGGTGGTCAGAGACTCCTGTGGCTTATAGGACACCCTGGTCAGAAACGAGGCCAGGAATACTTTTTTTGTAAGATTTTTAATTTATTTATTCATGAGAGACACACAGAGACGCAGAGACACAAGCAGAGGGAGAAGCAGGCTCCCCCTGGGGAGCCCGATGCAGGACTTGATCCCAGGACCCTGGGATCATGCCCGGAGCCAAAGGCAGACGCTCAACCAATGAGCCACCCAGGCGTCCCAGAATATTTCTATATTTTTAAGGTCCTCAGTTTACAACAAATTCTTGTGGTCTGTGGTGTGTTAACAATATTGTCATTGTTAATCCTATATTGACAGGATTTGGCCACAGGCAGGTCAGTGTGACAACTGGCAAGAGCCCCCAGCCCGGGGGGGGGGGGGGGCAGGAAGCAGATGAGGGCGGGCATGAGGGACCAGGAAGGGAAGGGTCACAATGGAGGAGAGACAGGCCTTTGGAGAAACCTGGCCCAAGGTAGGAGAGAATCAGAGGTCACGAGGGAAAGGAGGGGGTTGTTTTGCTTTTTGATTTATCCTTTTTATTTTTTATTTTATTTTTATTTTTATTTTTTTATATCCTTTTTATTAACATGGGAGAGGTCCAGCTTGCTTATGGGTGGAGTAGAAAGTGTCAGTTAGTAAAAGGCTGAATCAATTAGGATTTTTCTGTGCACAAGGAATAAAAAAGAATCTAGCTGATCTGGTTTTACCAAACTGTAAAATGGGGGAGGCTGCAGGGCCACGCAGGTCAGGACAGGGGACACAGACGCTCCAGGGACGCCTCGCTCGCCTGCCTGTGTCTCATGGCTCAGCCTCCCGGGGAGATGGGCCCTATTCTAAGATGGGCCGTCCCGTCACGTGGTGGCCAGGCACCCTCGAGCTCTGGACTACGCACTGCCCACTCCTCGTCCAGAAGAAAAACACACCCAGAGCCGTTGCAGGAGGAGGAGGACACATCTTTCTCCCAGCCGTCTACAAAACAGCCCAGGGCAGCCAGACTGTGTGTCCCTGGCAGCACTTTCCACATGGGTAAACTGAGGCCAGAGCAGGGCTGACACGTAGACTCTTCCATCCCCACCCGCTTTCTCCACGCCCTCCTCCCAGTTTCCTCAAACAGCCAGGCCAGAGCAGACGTGAGGGGTTTGACCCCAGGGTCTGCCAAGGGCTAGCGGTCACGCAAACTCCAGTTCCAATCGCTGTCTGCCTGGATGTGCTCTGTGAGCTGGGCAAGTGCTAACTCAGCCTCGATTTCCTCATCTGTAAAATGGGGATGGTGACAGCACGATCTCAGAGAACTGTGAGTCTAAATAAGCTGCTAGGAGGGACACCTTGAAGGGATGGCTGTCCTTCCCCATGGCCTCTAGGAAGAGCTTGTGGGGCCGGGCACAGCCCAGGACAGGGCTCCCCTAAAAAAGTCATTTCCTCTCAATTCCCTTCCCAATCTTCTGCTTAGGTCCAGGGGCAAGTCTATTCTATGTACTGGTCTGTCTTTGACACCTGGCTACACCTTGTGAATCTCACATTTTAGTAAGGAGAAGGTAGGAGGGCCAAGGGGTCCCCAGAGCTGTAGAACATTGTTTTTTTTTTTTTTTTTAGATTTTATTTATTTATGAGAGAGAAGGAGAGTATGAGCAGGGGGGTGCGCAGGGGGAGAGGGAGAAGCAGACTCCCCGCTGAGCAGGGAGCCCGATGCAGGGCTCCATCCCAGGACCCTGAGATCACGACCTGAGCTGAAGGCAGATACTTAACCGACTGAGCCCCCCAGGTGCCCCCATAGAACATTGTCTAATGGCTTTTTTACTGTTGTCTTCTATTCTAGGCTAGTAATAGTGGTGTCCTATCTAGGGCGGTGAATATAAAGTTTCCAAGCTCTTTATTTTACAGATGAAGAAATTGAGGCTCAGAGTTGACCAGAGAGGTCAGACTCCAGGGTCACAGAGCAAGAGTGGAGGGGATAGGAACAAGGTCCCTTGCTCAGGCAAGTGGCAGTTAGCAAAGACTTAATAAGAATACTCAGTATATGGGCCTCCTGGGTGGCTCAGGGCGTGGATCCCGGGGTCCTGGGATCGAGTCCCACATCAGGCTCCCTGCATGGAGCCTGCTTCTCCCTCTGCCTGTGTGTCTGCCTCTCTGTGTCTCTCATGAATAATAAATAAAATCTTTAAATACATATATAGAGAGAAATGAAAAAGCCAATGCAAAGAAAAAGGATTGTGAATATTACCAGTGGTGAAATCATGCGGCTTCATTTATTCTACACATGCGCTGAGTGTCCAGTTACTATGTTCCAGACACTTCCAGGAGGGAGACATGGCAGTGAGCAAGTCAGCAAGAACCCTGCTCTGTGGAACTCACATTCTCATGCAGAGGACTGGCATCAAAATAACTGTATAAGTGAAACAGAAAGCACATCACACGGTGGTAAGTGTAGGTGGGGAAATTGAGGAGAGTACAGTGGGGAGAACAGGAAGCACACGTCTGATCTGAGGCCTCAGGGTCAGGGAATCCTGACTCAGAAGTTGACACCGAAGCTTGAACCGGTATAGGCAAAGCTGTTCCAGGTCAAGGGCCTGTTCCTGTGAGAGCAAAGGCCCTGGGGGGTGGTGAGTGCCAGCAAGGAGCCAGCCAGCTGGGCAGGGTCCCCATTGAAGAAAGGAAGGAGCCAGGATGAGGCAGGGGCAGGGGCTTCTCTTCGGAGCTCAGTGAGGAGCCACTGGACCGGTTTGGGCAGAGGAGGGATGTGGCCTGACCTCTGTCTCCTATCATCCCTCTGGCTGCTGTTTGGACAAGGGGGTGGGAGAGGCAGGAGTTCAGGCCAGACAAGGTCCCTGGGGAGAGGCAGTGGCCTAGCCAGGGGATGGGGTGAGAAGTGTCAGATTTTGGACCTACTTTCAAGATGGTTCTGATAGGATTTGCTGTTGCAGGGGGTGTGGGGAAGATGTGTGGTGGGCAGAGAGGAGTCAAGGTTTGGGACCCAAGGGACAGGAAATGGAGCTGTCCCTGAGATGGGGAAGATGCAGGAGAGCCTGTGGAGAGGTCAGGGAGCATAGTTAGATACGTGCCTTCAGGCCACATCTGGGCGTCATAGGCAGATAGAGGTGTCCAAAGCTGTGCGTCCGGATGACAGCACCAAGGTAGAGTGGGGGAAGGGGCAGAAGACCAAGAGCTGCACACAGCCCATGGAAACTTCTAGAGGCTGGGGAGAGAAAGGGGTTGGTGTAGGAGGATGGGGCTGACCAAGGAGGAGGAGAAGTGGTCAGGTGTGTCTAGGAAGCCAAAAGAGGAAGGTGTTGCGGAGAACAGGGAGGGGGCAGCAGTGACAGGTACTGCTGGGGGGACCAGTGAGCGGAGGACCTAGTAACCTGGGCAAAGCTGGGAGCCAGACATGACAGATTCAGTGGGCTGGGACGGGGTGTGGGTTTAGGGACCAAGGATGAGAGAAGCCAGGAGGGACCACCCTTGGAGGACTTTTGCTATAAAGGCAGGGATAAAGGTGAGGCAGTAGGGAGGGGGAGCAGGTTACAGGATCCGAGTGGGGTTTTGGTTTTCTTGGTTTTAAGAGAGAAGTACCAGCGTGTGAGTTGATGAGGTTGTGCACTCAGGGCAGAGGACAGGGCTACTGGGTCAGCGTGGGCTTGAAGGTGGCAGCCTGTGGACCAGGGGTGGGGGTGTTGGGGTGGTGGTGGGGAGGCCACGCAGAAGGGCCAGGTGGGGGGGGGTGTAGCTGGGTGGTGGGAGCCCATGGGAACTCTCTTCTGATGCCTTCATTCAAACGCACCTACTAGGTGCCAGAGGGTTCCAGGGCTGGGATGGAGAGCTTCCCTGTTCTCAAGGCGGCCTGGGCACCGGTGCAGGCCGAGGGGGAGGATGAGCCCGGAGGAATGAGGACAACGCGGCCGGAGGCCAGGGCACTGGGAGGAGAGCCTGCAGGGCCAGGACCCGCAGCAGCAGGGACCCTGGGAAGTCCTGAAGGTTCAAGAAAATAAGTGAAATTCGGTAAATTTCACGAGACAGGCAGGCCGAGCATTTATTTATTTTTATTTTATTTATTCACTCATGATAGGCCTAGAGAGAGAGGCAGAGGGAGAAGCAGGCTCCATGCAGGGCGCCCGACACGGACTCGATCCCGGGACCCCAGGATCCCGCCCTGGGCCAGAGGCAGGCGCTAAACCACTGAGCCGCCCAGGGATCCCCCCCAGGCCGAGCATTTAGCACCAGTCACAGTCGCGGCGTGGAGTGGGGAGCGCTTTCTGATGAATTCGAGACCCACGCTGCCCCTTCTCCCTTGCATGACCTTCCAGTGACTTAACCATCCGAGCCTCAGTTTTCTCATCTGTAAAATGGGGAAATGGGCCGATCAGCTCCCACGGGCGGCGACGCGGGGCCCGGGGAGCGCTCCGCACCTGCGGGCCGCGGTCCAGCCCCGGCGGGGGCGCAGCGAGGACGCGCGGGCCGGGGCGCCGGGACCCGCGGGGGCGGCGGGCGGGGCGGCGCTGACCACGCCCGGGCCGGAGGGGCGGTGCTGCCGCCGCCGGACTCGGGGCACTGCCTCCCGCCGCCGCCGCCGCCGCCCGCCGGCCCCGGACCAGCTCGCCCGCCGCCGCAGAGCCGGAGGTACCGGGGAGCGCGCGCAGGGCGAGGCGGGCGGGGGCTCGGGGCGCCGCGGGGCGCGGGGGCGCGGAGGGCGCGGGGGCGCGCGGACCACCTGTTCCGGAGGGACCTCCGCGTGCGCACCGGCTGCTCCCCGGCCAGCTGCGCCCCGAAGTTGAGCGCGGCGGCGGCGGGACCGGGAGCCCCAGCCCGGCCTGGGCCGGGCCCCGCGCCGGCGGAGGGGGCCGGGGGGGGAGCGCGGGAGGGGCGGGAGGCGCGGGGCCGAGACACCCGCACGGCGACCTGGGGCGCGGCGCGCCGCTCGCTCGGGGGCGCGGAGTCTCTCGAGAGGCCTCCCCGCCCCGCTGTGCTCGCCGCGGGCCCGAGGGGGTGCGGCTGGGAGGCGCGGGGAGCGGCCCGCGGAGGGGGCCTGCGGGGCGGGAGGCGGCGGCCGGGGCGGGGGGATGCCCAGGCCGGGTCGGGCCCTGCAGGTGGAGGCAAGGGCCTGGGTCCGAGCGCCCCTTCTCAGCGGTCCCCAGCCGCCGACGGCCCGTCCCCCCGCGCCTCGCTCCCTCCCTGTCCTCCAGCTCGGAACCCTGAGCGGGAGCTGGATGTGCCGGGAGAGGCTGCGGCCGGAGGTGGGCTCCGAGTCCACTGCCCTTCGCTGCGGGGGGAGGGGCTTGCCTCGGTTTCCCCATCTGACGCCGAGGGATAGAAGTTCCCATCTCCTGGGCAGGTCAGCTGAGCCTTTGGCTCTGGGAGGGGTAAAAGCCGTCTGCCTGCATCCCCCCTCCCCCAGGAGGACACCGGCTCTGTCTCCCCAGATGCTGAGTGGGGGTCAAGCAGAAGCAGGGCGCGGGTTGGCCAGACTACTCGGTCCATACCTAGGTGTGCGCGAGTTCCCACACAGAGGTCCCGCGGGGGACTCCCCCAGACTGGCCTGAATACAAAAGAAAAGAAAAGGGGAGGCAAGATGGAATCCCCTGCTCATCCTCCTCCCAAACTTGCTCTTAGAGCCTTGGGCGCGTGTCCCTGCTTGTCTGCTAGGACAGCTCAATATTAGAGGACAAACTGCAAAATAGAAATTCTTAAAAATGTGTCCTTTCCTTATACCGATGGAAGCTTAGGTGAAAGGTCCGACGTGGGACCAGGCTGTGTAAGAGGTGTAAATACTCCTGGCTGCCAGGGACATTCGCGACAGGACTGGAAGGAGGGGCAGATGAGAAAGGGAAGCTTGAAATGTGGAAACAGCTCTTTTGTCCCCCTCCTCCCTCCCCACCAGCTGCTGCCCCTCCTAGTTCTCCCTGCGGGCAGGTGGGGTGTAGGGCCCGCCAGCAACCTCTTCACCCAAGCTCAGCACCCGCTGTGCTCTCTGGAATGCACTTCCTCCCCTACCGGTACCTCCTAGGTGAGCTCACGACTCCTGCTAAATGCCCTGTATTTTCATTGTTCCACTTCTCTCTGGATTGGAAACCTCTGGAGGAAAGGCACCTTACCTGAAACCCAGTGCCCAGCCCAGCACGTGCTCGATGCTCCCTGATGTTGCTGGAATTAATTAACTGTAGGAAGTGGGGGGCATGGGGGGGATGACTCCGTATTTGCATCCACTTGGAAAATCCTATTGTTAAAATCCGCCGTGTTTGCCAGATTTTTCTAAAAACACTTTAACACATTTGAATGTGTCCTGTCTATGTTTTTCAAATTCCTCGCCTCTCTCACGCGTTTTCTATATTTTTCAATGTGTACGTGTGTTACATCGTGTTAGTTAATGGACACATTTGAAATTTAGGCTCTTTGGGATAAGGTTATGTTGAACTTTTGCACATATACATCGTGTACGTTGCTGGATTTTCCCTGGAAAGAGTGTCACCTGGTAGTCACTGCCCGTGACCCTCTGGAAGGGCTGTACCTAGAGCCAGCTGGCTCTCCAGAGGGCCTGTACCATTCATACTTTGACACTGTGAGTGTGCATTTCTTGTTATTTCCTAGAAATGTAATTACTGAGTCAGAGTGTGAGCATCTAGGATGTTTGTGTGGTGTGCCCCCCCCCCCATTTTATTGAGCTGTTATTGAGCGCAGCATTGCGTGTGTCATTTAAAGGTATACGGTGTGATTTGATATATAAGCATCTTGCAAAAGACCACAACCTGCGTGTTTCTGATTCATTTGTCTGAGCTCATCAGCAAGGTATTTGTCCCTTCTGGTCTCTTGGTGGCAAAGACCTCCCCTCCCCCAGATTATCATGTGGGCTTATTTTTGCTGCTGCTGGCATGTGTTTTTGAGGAGCACATTTTTAATTTTTATTTTACTTTAGCTATGTGCCGGTGCTTTTAGATAAAGGAGACTCGGCTGCATTTATGAGCCGACGGGAAGGAGCCAGAAGACAGGAGCCAGAAGACGGAGTGGCTGAGTCTCAGAGGAGAGGCGGGTCCCTAGAGTGAGGTCCCAGGGGACACAGGAGGTGGGGGGTCCAGCTCTGGTGAGGGAACTTCTGAGCTGGTGAGGACAGGAGGCAGAAGGGAAGGGCCGGGCCAACACCTTATGAAACTGGCTTTGAACTCCATGTAGAAGGAGGTGGAAAAGCTCAATGGAGAGAGAAGGGTCGGTCCTGAGGCCACCGGCTCCCAGTGCTGTTTGCCGGCCTCATCCCCTGGAGTCCTCCCTGCTTCCCTGGGAGGTAGCAGGTGTTGTCATCCCCCAGTGACAGGCTCCCAAGGGAGGGAAAGTGCCTTGTCCGGGTTCAGTCAGCTGGTGAGTGGCAGGGATGTGCTCAGAGTAGGCTCTCCCGGCCTTAAGTGCCTGCCCTCGAGAACCGCCCTCCTCTTGGTGCCTCCACCCCTAGTAGAGGTCAGGAAGCTGCACCCTTGAGACTCTGAGTGAGCGTCCCTTCCTTCCCTGTCTGTCTCTGTCTGTTTTCCCTCTGGACAGACCCCAGTGGATCCAGGAGCTTCCAGTGGAAGCTGCGTTGGCCATGGAACTAGAAGAGCCCCCTTCCCTTCTGGTTGGTGCCTGCACACTCTGCCCGGGGCACACACCCTGGCCCAGTGGGGACACACCGCCCATTCTGGAAGTCACCCCTGTGCAAAGTCTGATTTGGCAAACGGGGAACTAGGTGAACAGGTACATGAGACTGAAGCAGGGGGAGTGGTCTTCACATTCCCTCAACAGACTTGATTTGAAAGAGCGGAATCCCCGGTCTCAGATGTAGACACAGAGTCCAGAAAGGTCCCTGTCCCCCAAACTCTATGATCTTCATTTGCACCTACCCACTGAGTCTCAAAGGCAACCTCCTGAGTTTGGGGGGGGGGGGGGCTTCCATGGATTGAGCCCTTACTAGGTGCCAGACATTTCGTTATTTAACCCCCTTGCCAGCCTGTGCTGTTCTTCCCATTTCACAGACAGGACACTGAGGCTCGGAGCTAAGCGCCTTCTCTTTAGGGCGGTGAATTTGAGCCTCCAGCGCCAGAGCAATCCCTGGTGAACTTGGCTGGGCCACAGGCAGACTCCTTCCACCTGGCAAGGGGCGTTTGAATCCCAGCTATGCCTTGGTTCCCTCCACTCTTACGCTGTAGTTGATAACTAGAGCACCTGCCTTGCAGAGCTCTGCGGGGATTAAATAAGTTACTCCAGGAAAACCACTTTGACCACTGGCTCTGCACAGTAAGCCATCAAGGAAATGTGTACTATTGTTATTACGAACCATGTAGCTCCATGCCTGACAGGAGCCTTCCATAAATTAGTTCCAGCAACTCACCCACCCTCCCCGTGCCGAGGCTATGGGAAGGTGGGTGAGCCCTAGCACTGGGAAGAACGTGGACTTTTAATTTTTTTTAAGAAGATTATTAATTTATTCATTAAAGAGAAAGCAGGAGAGAGAGCATGCACATGAGTGGGGGAGGAGCAGAGGGAGGGAGAGCAAGACGCAGGCTCCCCGCTGAGCAGGGAACCCAATAGGGGGCTAGATCCCAGGACCCTGAGATCATGACCTGAGCCACCCAAGGTGCCCCGAGAACATGGGCTTTTAAAAACCTTTCTGAAAAAGAAAAAACAAAAAAATAAAAATAAAAATAAAAAAATAAAAACCTTTCTGGAGACAAGTTAGTGATCAGTATCTACGACTTTAAATTATGTTTCCTTTGACCCAAGAGGCTCATTTCTAGGAACCAGTCCTACAGAAGTAATTAAGGATGTGCTCAGAGACGCGAGTGCTAAGCTATTCACCATGGTGTTGTCTATAAAAGCAGAAAGATGGAAACCGCATTTCTAGCAGGTAGGACAGGAACTAGGCAACGTGAAGGAAGGACCCGCCATATGACATACACATGCAGAGAGGATGGAAACTTAGGGTATTGAGCCCTATTTATGGACGCGGTGTGAGGGCATGCTATGGCCTGCGAGCAGCTTTACTTCGGTACAGCTTACACCGTGTCACATGCATACAGTTGGGTGAATTGTAGTCAACGTGCACGGTTGTGCAACTATCTCATTTTAAAATATAGGGCCCAGCATGTTTCTTTTCTTTCCTTTTTTTTTTTTGTTTTTGTTTGTTTTTTGTTTTTTAGATTTTATTTATTAATGAGAGACACAGAGAGAGAGGCAGAGACAGACAGAGGGAGGAGCAGGCTCCATGCAGGGAGCCCGATGTGGGACTCGATCCCAGGACCCTGGGATCACACCCTGGGCCGAAGGCAGGTGCTCAACCCCTGAGCCCCCCAGGCGTCCCTCCAGCATGTTTCTAAGTGAAAAATAAAACAAGGTGCAGAACAGTACGTGTAATAAGATCTCCTTCTGTGTGCACGTGGCTCTGTGTAAACACTGCTTGTGTCGGCGACAGCCCCGTGGGGCAGGTCCTCTGCCACCTGGACACATCAGGAAGGGACCAAGCAAAATACACTAGAATGCTGACGTGGGCACCATGTCACATGCTTTTGCCTCGGGTCTTTGGTGACTCCACTTCGTCTTCTGAGAGAGTAAGGCAGGTGTCACTGCAGGGTGGCAACTGGACACACACACACAATCCCTCT